ACACGAACGCTCTATCGAGCCTTTGCTGTTAGAACTATCCTGGTCGAACACGACACGCCGGTGTCGTAACAAATAGGGATTTTGAATCGCGAATGAGCTGTACGTCCACCTGGCAGGAGGAGAGAAGCGATTCCAGAGGAAGCCACACATAGGACGATCTTGCCTTCAGCACAGAGTTTTGAAGCGATGAGCTTGCAGAGATATGTTTTGCCACATCCACCTGCACTGTGGACAAAGTATGAATGTCCTGGTCTGTGCTCATCCCGATGCATTGCATCATCGACCACCACATCAAAGACCGCCCTCTGCTCTTCATTGAGAGAAGGAACTCCTCTATCCACCACCTGCTGAAGCTCTTCTTGATTGTACTGGAGCTGCTCAGCAATCAACTGGTTACCCTCCATGGCCCCCCATCTTGCTGCCATTTGAGAGACAGGCATGTGGGGAATGGCATCCAAAGACTTTCCATTTTTGCGAAGCACTCCATCGATGAGATAGAGACCATAGTCATAGACCTCCTCCTCAGTAGCATCTGGCATGTTGAATGGCATGCGAGCGAGACGACGGCGCAGATCATCGCAGAGATTGTCCTTGAAGCGGTTCCAAAGGTCGTCAGGGCTTGTAGGGTTGCAGAAGAGGAGGATGATGGCAAATAGATTTCATGTATGGTATCCAGTGCACATATGAGAGGCATCCCGCAAGCACTGAATCCATTCATTATCATCATCTAGCAGACCCCTGAGCTGACATGCGTCCTTGAAAGTCTCACAGACAACATCATCGACAGTCCGCAGGTGTTCATAGGAGGTAGCGCCTTTGAAAAAACACATTAAGTTTGATTCATACAAATCATCGCAGAAATCATACCTTTCACTACGGTCAAAAGCAATCTCAGATAAGATCTCTCTCCAGAGCCGGGGGCAGCAGAATACATCCTTCCAATTGCAACTCCATGCTGACGTATCTTCCAAGCAACTTTTTGCCACACAAACTTTGAGGGGAAATCCTGGTAGAGGAGATCACAGGCTCCAGCTGCCACCATGTTTTCATCAGCATTGGCTTTGAACCATCCAGTGAGGTGAGTCTCCTTTGCTGCTGCACGCTCGACAACTTCCTCGGGATTATCGTCAGGATCATAGACAACCATGTGTTCACCTGGGAGGTGGACTGGCAAGCGGTAGACAGCAGGCCATTCAAGGTGCATATCATTTTCCATGATGCGCCATGCAGCCTCAATCGAGCTAATATACCTGGAGTCAAGATATGATTTGACCTCATCGACCGGTCCTTCCATCTCCAAAGTGGCACGGTCATGTCCTTTGTAGATATACTTGTGAACGTACTTGACAGATTTGATCGAAGCACAGACTTCCAAATTAATATGGCAGTTGAATTGAACCAGCAGTTCTGGAGGGTGAGGAACAACATCTTTATTGGTGAAGACATCGTTATTCTTTTGGATCGTGTGCGCATTGTCTGGTCTTGCATAATCTGGGTAGCCATCATCCTTCAAGGATGTCTGATCACAGAAAGACTTTGGAAAGTGCTTTTTGCACTGTCCATTCTCCAAGCAACGCTCTAGACTGCATGGGCCATGGAGCATGTATTTTGATACAGCTTCATAGAGTTGCGGGTGCACATTTCTATCCGGTATCTGAGCAGAGATGAAGGAGTCTATTTGCTCCACAGTCCTTATCTTATGGTCTGAGTCAAGGAAGATAAGCAGATGCATGTGAGGGAGACCACGCTTCTGATATTCGATGGTGTACACCAATCCTGCAACTTTTCCGTAGTAGCCCTTGCGAACCTTCTTCAAGAGGGCTTGTTGCTTTTGGTAGAAGACGCGAGCCACCAAGTCTGGACGATCCACAGCGCTCTGACCTACATAAGCAATATTAGCAACAACATCATAAATCAATTATTAAAATTTACCTGGAAGGAGGTTTTCAGTGATCTCAGGCCAACTCCCATTTGCAGTCATTGTTAGGAAGAGGTCGGGCTTCTTGCAGGCACGGCAAATGGCCAAGGAATCCTGAAGCAACTGGTGCATGTAGCGGGGGCTTCCAGTATGCGATGATGGCAGAATGATTGCACGACCTGTCTGAGCCAGATCATCTGTGCCATCATTAAGGATGTTGTCTGCCAGGCCTCGGTAGCAGTCTGCCCTAAGCTTTTTTTGATTTTTGGTGACCCAATTCAGATTGCTCTGTTCAATGGAAGCCCAAGCATCAACGACATACTGCTGGAACAGTCTTCCACCACGGAAGATGTTGTTGTTATCGATATGGATGGGGCGGGGGAGAAGACGGAAGGCATAGTATAACAGCTGGGTCACTTCTTTTGAACGTGTACATCCGCCTTGAGGGATGTTGAGAGGTATTCCAAGGTGCCAGCCCTCCTCACCAGAAGGAAAGAGAAGGACATAGTGAAGGGTCGAGTATGCATGGCTGAGCTGACTGATGCGTCGCAGCTGACCACCTTGAAGTCGCAAGACAATATCTCGTTTGTCGGATACCTCCTCAGATCCATCTCCAGGAATGATCACAGCAATTTCATCAGCAGTGGGAAGATTATATCTTCGACCATCTGTGCCCTGCTGAAAGTGAATGCATGCACGAACTTCTGTGTGCTGCTCTGGAGGCTTCTCGCTCATAACTTGATAGGCCTGCTTATAAAGAGCCGCATATGGATGACTCCGATAGATCATATCATGGAGCTCTCTGAGAATACGACGATCAAGGCCTTCATTTCCTGGTTGGTTGGCGCGGATGTCGGTGGCACGTTCAGGATCATAAATGTAGATTTGAGCGTATGAAGGCCGAATACCTTCAGGGGGAATCAGGCTGCCCATAAGGTGGTGAAGAGATCCGTGGATACGAAAAGCATTTGGGCCAGAGCCTTGAAGGGCCCTATCCTCGATGGTGACGCCTACGGATGTGAATGCAAGAGCACTGTTGTACTGGCGAATCTTGGAGACAAATGTTCTGTCTCCATATGCCTGTTGCAGCTCATGTGGCCATGCTGGAAAGGGAGGAAGGTTGACTTTTCCCTCCAAGCAGCACGTACCAAACTGTGGATTTCGTGCAGATGATTTGGTGAGTCTTTCACATGCAAAATGCATGGCATGGCAGTTGGGGCACTCCACATTAAGAGGACCGAGAGTGTGACGATCAATGGGCTCTGTGTATGCTCGAGCTCCATCTGGGATAGGGATATTTCGGACAGGCGCCTGGTTGATATTTTCATCATCCTCTGCATCGCGCTGCCGGCGACGTTCTTGCTCCTGAGTTCTTCTTCTTTCCTCGTCATCTTCATGCTGCTGCTGAGAAGCGGGATTATCATATTCGCGCAATGCCTCTTCAAGACGCTCCTGTTGCTCACGATTCCTCTGCTCCTGGCGATGTTGTTCCTCTTCTGCCTGTTGACCTGCTCGCTGAATATCCTGAGCCTGTCTATCAGCCCGCTCAGCTTCCTCCTGCTGTATGCGATGAACCTCCTGATCTTCTCTATTGCGCCTCTCAGCTTCCTGCTGCTGCAAGTAAAAGGCCTCCAAGTTTTCTTGAGCTTGTCTACGAATACGTTCAGCTTCCTGCTGCTGGAATTGCTGCTGGATCTGCTGTCGATGAAATTCCTCCTGTGCTTGTCTCTGAAGCAAATCATTTCTAATCCGCTCCTCCTCCAAATGATGCTGAAACTGAACATTAAATTGATGATAATTATGTTCAGGAGGCGGAGGTGGTATAGGATTGGGTGGAAAGTAATGGAGGGGATTTTCAAAGTTGTGAGGACCAACTGCACCCTCATAATGAATGGGGCCATATACAGGAGCAGGGGCGGGAGCAAGGGGGGCAGGAGCAAGAACAGGAGGAGCGGGTTCATTAGGAATGTGAGGCACCTGTGGAGGCTGCATTCCAGCTGCCATGAGCTCTGCCTGTGCCTGCTGTCTTATCTCATCTCTATCCTGTTGACGACAGAGATTACGCTGACGACGTCTGTTGTTTCCAGCTGCATTCATTTGCTCATTCAAGCGTGCATTATAATCAACAGGAGGAAGATGATGAGCACGCTCCACATGTGCAATGGCATTTCGTGGCAAGCCAGAATACTGCTCGACTGGTAGCGGTTGATATGGGATGTGTGCAGGGGGTTGCCATGCAAAAGGTTGTTGAACAGGACCTGCTTGTGGCTCATTGGCGGGCATAAAATTCGGCTGTGGTATAACAGGCAAGGGTCTGTCCTGATTGTCATGAGCAGCATGGCGACGATTGCGCCTGGCAGGAGAAGTCATTTGAAGTCGATCAAGTCTATCGTGTTCTCGTTGTGACTGACGATCACGCTCGGGGGTTATCTGTTCATCTCTAAAAATGATGTAATGTGCAAATATGATTAGCATCATGTAGCAATATATCAATAGTCAGTGACTCACTGAATAGGAATTTGAGCCATCTTTGTTATGTTATTCAAACAGTTGTTTAGCAAGTGCAAAATTTTGAGTTGCCTAAACTCATTAATAAGTCAAAATTTTCATCATTGTTTTGATAAGAAATGACACCCACAAAAAGTGTTTTGCACTTTATTACACTTGGCTGCAGGGGAAGGCAATTTAACTTGAGAGTTCTATTCAAAAGCAGCAGCCAAGTGTGTAATGATTTGTATAACCAAATTGTGTAACCAATGTAACCAAATTTCTATTATTGCTTTTGTTATGCTCGATGCCTTTCCCCCATGGTAGGAAAAGTGAGTTGTTTGTCCCTATTGTACCCGCGGCGCAGTAAGCGTGAGGATTACTGTCCACTATATCGCGTTTCGGACTCCGTAGAATTTTTTCATCTTGAAATCTCAATTTAGAAGTATTTTTCACACATTCACGCGAGAAAACCATGCGAGTTTCCAAAAAGAGGTTTAAGCGAGCTAAGCGCTCCCATGTGGCCTTTAGCGAAATAGGCGAAAGCCATGCGAGCGCCCGACCGTTCCCGCAACCATCGCACTTTACTTCTTAGATGTCGCACGCCCCTATTCAACTCTGTTTCCTTTTTACTCCTCTACGTGTGATGGCCACCAAAACCTTCAATGACAGGGCGTCTAGCGTCTCCGACAAGCCTCCCCCTTATGATCCAATTTCTACATCTGTATCAGTGGATTCCGTCTGATGCAAATGTTCGGTATTTTCCTTCCCACAATCCAAGCGTGCCTCAGTTTTATCTCGCATCCGTGAAATCGTCTCCTCTCCTGATTTCACCCTTTCCTCTGTGGCGCCAATTATCACTTCCTGTGCTGCCACTCTCCGAGCAGCAGAGTTCTCCAACCTCATCCAAGAACCCAATATCGAAGATCACACGGTGCTGTATTGGACGATTATAAACAACCGGCGAGAAGCCCTTTGGGAGTTTACTAAATTCATTTCCAAATTCTCGCCTGCTTGCTCTTCCGACTTGCATCTTGCATGCATGATAGTCAATGACCACGATTTGTTCATGCAGCTGAAATTGGGGGACAATGTTGATCATAAGTGCATGGTACACAATGTCCTGAGAGTGTGTTATTTAACTCACCACTGTGTACTATCAGCCGAGGATGGGTCTTTGAGACGCATGTTGAGTTGTCTGTGAGATGAGATCAAGGTGTCGCGGCATGGATCCAGTGAAGCGAATTGTTCGCTTGATGATCTTCAAGTCCATGAAGGGCATGGCATGGGCGAAAACTATTTCTTTGCTCATTTTGTCTTCAGGATGTTCCAGAAACGCCTGCGTATTAGACAGAAATTGGCAGTAGAATTTGTTGCCCAGGGTGTGTGGTCTGTCATTTTGACTTGTTCCTCACTGATATAAACACCCAAGGACGTATTTGGGTGTTGCGCTTTTGTATGGAGTCAAAAGGAAGTTGGTGTGTTCAGTATGGTCTTTCGGAACCTAGTTTGCCAGTGTATCCCAACACCAAACTTGCAATTCAGGCTCACAGCAGGCCTCCTTGCTCAAGCTGTGCAACCCAGAGACCCTTACTTTTAGACTTAACATATTTGGGTGAACCAATGGTACCTGAGGGGTATGTTTATCATTCCCACTCATCAAAACCAAGGCACTGAAATCTACTCATTTACTTTATTGCTCTGGCAGATTATTGCACCACTACATAGGTATTGAACCAAAAAAGAGCTTAATTGCAGTTGAACACCAGTTGGATGATTGGCTAATGAATGTGTAAGTCTCCTTTCTCCTAGTGCTTTAAGTTTCTATTGACATGTTTGGCTTTAGTGATCCTCCTTATGTAGACTGTGATGGCACCCTGATTGCAGGGCTTACAGTGACAATAAAATGACACTACCCTGGTCAGCTGCAACACTTATCAAAAGCTATTGTTGAATATTGGTGGTAGCAATCAATATTCTCATTGCTACATTTCCTCCTTTTGTATTCTATAAAATTCCCACTACCTTTAGGGAGTGGGTCTTATAGCTCGCTATTTTTCACGTTTTGGCGGTAGATTTCACGATCTTGCTGCCCCTCTCTTTCTCGCCTTAGATGGTAATGAGGCTGTGTTGATCGATCGTTCTACACCGCCTTTAGCTCTCGCCTGTTTGATCACTGCATCGCTGTCGATACGCCCCTCTTGCGCTCTCACCATCATGACCTCGTTCATCGGCCGTCTCCCTGTCTCTGTCGTCTTCGATACTGATTTGAGTCGTTGTCTTGTATCTATTCCAGTTGCTCATGACCTCGGTCATTCAGCGCCAGCACCGGGTTCTCATTGATCCTCACTCACACAATCACATTCAATGGACGTCGATCCCCCCTGCTACAACAGACACGTTGCAGGAGGCCTCTACGATGAAGTGGTGAAGCAACTCATGGCACTGCCCAAGGGCGTATCTTTAGGAGATGCCACGTATAAGAACGACTTTGTTCGAGACATGAAGGTGCACACTGGGAATTTTGGTTACAGGTGCAAAGAAAACGGAGCGGAATATGAGACAGTTCTGGTTGGAGAGGTAATGCCTCGTGCATACGGTACGAAATTAAATGCCATGGGCAACCATTACGTCGGGACAGCAGATACTGTAAGTATCGAGATACTATGATGTTGCAAAGCTGACATCAGGACCAGCCCAATGTGATCGATGACAGGGCACGAGTAAAGGGTGTATTCGCATTAGGAAAACCGACGCAGGCGACTGAAATGATGTACGTCGCATTCGAGAATCAAATCGCTACCTTGGACGACGTCATCCAAAGCAACATCAAGGAACTGAAAAGGAAGAATAAGGATATGAATATCAAAGAGTGGACCGCAAACGCAGGTACCGAAACATCAAGCGCGCCAGAGTTTATCATGATCAGCACAGAGCAATTGTATGCGGTAGGTCAAGTGCATGGAATCGTTCGACCAATGCGGCTAACATTTTTGAAGGTACCCAAGAGCACACAACAAGCTATGCAGGGCAAGCGTGCGAGGATCACGAAGAGGGCGCTCAATAGCGGAGGTGATAGTGCAGATGGAAAAGCGACTGGAAGTTCATCCTCTACAGATGCTGGATTAAAGGACAATGCAAAAGAAGACAGCATCACAACCAACGATTTCTATGAACCAACAGCCCTGCCAGATTATGGAGGCGAATTATTCCAGCATGTGAATGCCAAGCTTCAGCAGCTTGACATACGAAATGTGGAGAACAAGCTTATCCCGCCCCAGAATTGGTATGGGGAACTCAAACGAGGGACTTTGGTGATGATCAGGGCCACATTGCACGCATTCAACTGGAAAGAACGACGGGTAAGTTCAAATCACTCGGAAGAACAATGGCTTACAATTGCAATGAAGGTCTATCAGCTCAACGCACACACTATCCGTATTTTGGACGAGTCAAAGCTCGAAATGGAACCGTTGGGCACCCAGCCAAGCAGAGGTGACTTGGGGGTGTCGCAGTCAGTGTCGCGTGCATCAAATGCGATGGCAGGTGTCCAGCTGGGAAAGAGAGTGAGGGAGGAAGACAGCGAGGAGTAAATGATGGGTGTGAGTCAGATTCAACAATGTAATGAGTAGGTGCATGAGTCGTATGAAATGAAAATGAACGAGAGTATCAGAACTATGTCTGACATGTCTACGACCTTACAATATAAAAATGAACGAGAGAAACGATTGCCGAAACAGGTAGCGGGTGTTGCCACTTTAGCTGGCGCTATAGCTTATTTCATATCCTACACTATCAAATTGAATGAAATGGTACAGTATTCACACATCACAGAAGGTCATGTTGGCAGGGAAATTAGCCCTATGTCACATGTAACATTTCAGTTTGTCAAATGGGAACAGAATTTGCTTCCACTAATGCCTAATTAACTACACCATAACTATGTTTCTTGACTCAGTACTCAAATCTTGCCATTGTCATGATGGTGCCAGAACATGTGGGAATACAGACACATAATTCAGTAAATATTTTCCATATTACACAGACACCCAGAGTTGAGATTCATCCATGTAAGACAGGTCATCTGAGCTAGAATTGGTGGGCCTACATGGATGTGGCTATCTGATACTGATGGATGGGCTGGAATGTGTACAGTATTGGAATGCCAGTATATACAGATGGTCTGGGATGGGTATGTGAAGGGTCCTTGGGGAGGCATGAGTGGGCCAGAATGAATGAAAATGATATCTTAGGATATACAGATGGGCCAGAATGGATGAAAATGAAACCTTGGGATGTGCTGATGCACATAATTCAGTAAATATGTTCTGTGTTACATGGACACCCAAAGTTGAGATTCTTCTAAGTGAGATGGGCCATCTGACACATCGGCGGTTTCGGAATTTTCATGCAAGCAAGATTTGAATCAAAATGGGATTGATGTATGAGGGATTTTCACTTTGAATTTAGATTTCAGCTCAACAGGAAATTTTGATGAACGGAAAAATGGCAGTGCAAAGTGACACATTTTGACAAACATTTTAAGTCCTCGAGAATATTTCAGGTTTTTCAGCCAAGAAAATGACAATACAAATATGGAAATGTTGTGAAAAAATATAAATAGAAACTTTTCGACGCAAAAAAATGGAATGCAAAATATTATATAATGTCAAGCATTTCCCATGGCAGTTTAATCTCAAATTTTTTCTATGGCAAAATGTGATAGGAAAATGAGAAGTTTTATGCATGAGAAAATGACATGGGCGCTGGTCGTGCATCCAGCGAGCATTCAGTATATTACTTTGTAAGGTAATAAATAACACAATGGTACAGTAGTGCAGTGGTGGTACAGTAGTATTCGTCGGACATTCAGTATATCACTTGGTAAGGGTGATAGTACATAGTATTACATAATCATGCGTGACTACTCTACAAGGCAAATCTGATCAAAATGCAAACTGATTAACGTCGACGGAGTGATTGTAATATCTACGGTGTTCTTCTTGAGGTAGCACTTAGCTATATCGCAGATAGAACCGTGATGACTTCTGTCCAGAATAATACACTGTTGGTTCTTTTTGTGCGGGGGGGGGGGGCTGGACTCAGATCCGTGGCAGGTATATGATAATGCTGAATTACAGCGCCTGTGCCATTCGATGAGCAGAACACTGCAACATAGCCTTCAGGGGCGGGTCCATTCTGACCGAGGAAGGGGTCAGGACATGCCATCGACACAAATCGATTGTGTAGCCTGCCTCCCATGAAGGAGGGTGAGACTTTCAGCATTGCGTGATAAGTAGTGAATTTAGAGGAGAATTCTTTGTTCATTAACCAAGCTAGTGGGCCTATAATCAAATAAATGGTAATGCTCTGACGGTTCTATGGAAGGACTCACCCTCTTTAGGTTCTTCCGTTCTAGCGTCAAGCATGTCATTGATATCAACAGCCCAGGGGTCGGGTTCAGCAGTCTTTGAGGAATTGAAGCTAGACGAAGGGTTAGGAGCCGTGTTAAGATCCTCGGGGTTAGCAGTCCATGAGGTCCACGCAGAAGACAGCATGCTAGGATCAATGATGGAAGCTGATGAGCTTGAGGAAACCTTTTCAGGAGGGGGAGTAACACTTCAAGGTTGCACTACCAGGTACGATGTAACGAGACAACAATTGCTGGACACTATACAAAGTAAGTAACCAGCAATATAATAATGTTATGATCTTGTGCGTCCTAGTCTGCTATACTTGTAGACAAGTGCGTTCGACCCGAGGGGTTCACTGTAAGGTATTAGAATAATCAGTGATACTAAAAGGAAGATAGTCCGAAGCACGGGAAACAGAGTCCGAAGGTATAAACGTCGGGTCCGATGTTTTCGGGTTTCGGGTTAGCAGGTTTCGTCGGGTTACCTCGGATTAATGTCGGGAATGTAAAGAATGTCGGGGATAGTGAATGGTGGGATACTGTCAGTGTTTTCGGAGTGTTTCGGATAATGAAAGGATGATATTTGTGGAATTCAACCAAGAACTACGAATATCTAATGACCTCCTCCTACTTGGAGGTAGAAAGGTAAATAAGTAAGTAGGAGGCATGTAAAATATATAGTGTCTATGTAGAATTTCGGAGCGCTATAGGCGAAAGTAGTAGCGGTAATTTTCGGGTCCGATGTCCTATGTAATAAGACATGTGGTACTGCGGACATGTAATAACACGGTCTACAGTGTTAGCGATGTGAAAACAGATAACTGCGCACCTAGTGGGGATAGATACGACAGGACAGGACATAGGGAGGATAAGTGCGCGGGAAAATATCGGGTCTGATGCGCAGGAAATGTCGGGTCCGTCGGATTAGCATTGGACAACGTCGGGTTAGCATCAGGTTAGTGGATGAATGTCGGATTGAGCGGATAAGTGTTGGATAAGTGTCGGATAACATTGGGAAGTGATTCGAGTGTTTGACATGCATTGGGAATTAGCTGAATACGTGCTCAGCGCGAGCCTGAGTGCTACAACGATCTTCGCCGCATCTCGCAGAAAGATATCATATTGGTTCCTTCGAGCATAATACCGTTCAACCTCATCCCGTACCTAAAATACCCTATGAAACTAATTCACCACAAATATATGTGTGTCGCTTACCTGGTAACAACGTCTTTGAGTTCCATCTTGGTGCACTGCTGCCCATGCAAGGCAAGGATGCAATCATTGGAGTTGAAACTATACAACGTAGCTCGGTAGCCCTTACGGTCACCTCCAACAATAAAAACTTCTTGCCCGATGTCCTTTTGAAAGAATCCAAGCTGGTGTTGTGTATTTTGATGACGAATCCGATGGGAACGTTCACCTGTCAGAAGTCAGACATGCATAGATGGGCCGAGGAGAACGAGTACTAACTAGTGAGTGGTCAATCTCAGAAAGTATAGTCAAATGAGTGCTTAGAAAGTTGACACTTCACACGACCCCTTTCATTGGGTGCTCTGGCCCACAGGCGACTCTCACAACATCTCTGGGTTTGACATCATAACCCCTGTCTTTCATATACCGCAGTGTTTGGAGGTTGGGGATCCGCTGTAGAGACTCATGCCTCTCATGGTGTGATATGGCAGTATTCACTAGGGAGTACACAGCACGAACTTGCAGCATCACTCTGTATGCTGTCCGCAGCTATTCCTACATGAGGCGCAGCTTTCCCGCGCAACGCGCAACATGCGCGCGCACTTCCCGCGCTTCACGACGTATACACACGCGCACTTTCCCGCACTTGAGCGCCCTATAGCGCCAGCCATCCGGAAGCATCCATCCACTGTCCACCAAGTTCTCTAGTGTGTATGTTTCCATTTCTCTTATCTGTGTATCGTTCCACCTTTATTTTTATCATGGACCCTTACTTACATACATATATCTTTGCATACCTTACTCGGTAGCGATTCGGCTCCGCATGACAGTGCTTAGGCGCCATATAAGCGCCAGCATTACATACTATTAGGGAGTTTCGAACTTTGCACTCTACCTCCCACTTACCCACTTACTACCTAGCAGAGTATAGTTGCAATCTATTCCTTGGCACCTCGCACTCACATCTCTTGTCTTGCATCATATCACCACTTAAGCAAACTCACTCTTACTCTCACTTGTTTCCGCTCACGCGCACGCGCGCTTCCTGTGCTTCGCATCAGCCGACCAGTAGCGCCTTCGGCGCGCACTACTAGATCCTTGCTGCACTCGCTTCCCCTTTAGGGTCGAACACACTTGTCGTCTCAAGTATAGCAGACTAGGCAACGCGAGACCTTACAACCTTTACAGATACAGTCAGGAGCATAGTTTGTTCCTCTCTGTATTGTTGTTTCTACAACTGGAGCCCACCGCGAGGGTTTCTTGTGTTTCTAGGCTCTCTAAGCTCACCAATCATCCCCCAAATTCGCCTATTATCCAACCACAGTCATTCATTACCAGCTTCTCCCACAATTCCCACTTTTCAGCATCTTGTCCTCCTCCCCAGCGCATTGATAAGCGTTTTTCTCACGCGGTTTTCGAGCGGATCTCTCGCAAACGTAGGGTCGTATTTCCCACGTCCGTCCGGTCATTTTGAGCCCTGGTTCATCGAATTTGGAGCAGTAGTTGTGGAGTTATCGAGTTTTTGGTGTTTTTGAGAAGTTGAGAAGAGATAAGGGTTTTCTGGGTGCTCTAAGGCCTGTCTCATCTAGCTCTTTTGGTCATTTACCATCCCTCAGTGGCTCTGTCCATTGCCCCAAGCCGCTTTTTGATAGGACCAGCCCTTGTCGCCCTGCACCATACCCCTTCCTCCTCCTCCCTCTTGCACCTCCGCACATTTTCGCACTTTCACCAGCCCATTTCGCATCGGAACCCCATAGACCCTATACCCGTTTTGAAGCCCTTGTTCATGGCTTTCATTCGCGCATATCCGCGCCTTCGCGCGCTCAGCTGTTCGCTCGCTATCCACATTTTCGCGTTCCCCCCATTTGTTTCACCCCAATTTTTGCGTTTTCTTTATATCTCGTCGCCCCGTGATCGCGCGCCCATCGCCTTAGGCGCGTTCTGACCGCATTCACCGCCGCTTTCCATCCATCCGCTTCACTTCCCGATATGCCCACCCGCGCCCTCGCTACTCGCCGTTCTCGCTATTTTCGCATGTTTTCACCATTTCCTTCATATCTCCCTCAGTTCTTCACCAAACCTAGTCGACCCTATACTCATTTCGAAGCCCTCGTTCGCCTCTTTCTATCCGTCTACTTCCCGTCGTCATCCGCGCAACCACCACTTCGCATTTTATCGTTTTTATCATTTTACCAGTCCCCCAGTACTGATGCGGTTCGCCTGGCACAAGAGATGTCAGGGAAAACAGGTGCTGGGGTCATCGTTTTATTGGATTGCCCTGACCCTCACTCACTGGCGCAGTTTACCTGGCATACGCGTCAAGGAAACAAAAGGTGTTTGAGGACCCCCAGGTTAGTAGTTTTCTTAGTTTAGCTTAGCTTTGGTTTGCATAGGTAGATGACTGGGGACAGTCATGATTCAAAGTTCCCATGAGATGTAGGGATTCATTTCTGGCTGGGCTTGTAGAGACTGTTTTTACCTTACCTTATGTTGGTACTTTTGTAGCTTACATAAGCAAGTTATCTTTTCACCAGTTACCAGTAGGAGTCAGAGTACTCAGCAAGTTTTCATGATATTTCCTCTCCTCTGAGCCTTGAGCCTGGTCCAGAAACCCTTTAGGGTCGAATAGCAGCTAGGTTCTGCAAGACCCAACATTGTTCAGACTCACTCTCTGAATTGTTGTACCTTCACCGCCGAACAGCCGCAATGGGAACTGGGATACTTAATGATCCATCTTGAAACCATAGATTGTTTGATGCCTTGGGCAACCAGCGTATGATACCAGATTTCCCTGTGTGCTGTCCCACAAGTACTTCTATGTGATCCCCTATTTGGATGGATTCAATATCGGGGGGAGGCTCAAAAAGTTGCTGTGTTGGCAGCCGTCCTTGCATCGTGTGACTCAGAGGGCGGTGGTCTAGGTAGTACTTCGAAACTTCCACCTATACCCATGTGTTAGATGATTTTGCAATGTTCAACTGAAAAGAGACACTCACCTCTTCCTTTGAGATGGCTTGACAAAGACGAAATACATCATCTACCATTTGAATGATGTGCTCTTCCACACCTAAATATGGGCCTGCTACCACTCAAACTGTGTCGCCGACCTGGAACATATGTTCTATGTCCTCTATTTGGACATCAATCTCCTTTTGGTGGCCACTTAAGATCAATTCTAGCATGACAGAACCAGTAGGAAGGTCAGTCGAGATGACCTGTCCGATTTTTGGGCCAAGGTCTCCTTTAACAACCCTGGCCCAATCGCCCACGCACAAGAACTGCATGAAAAACACAACCATGGTTGCCTTGAGGAAGGATTGGTTCCACCTCGATTGCAGGTGGAGTTGTATGTCGTCAGCATGGGGGCAGATGACTATTGGAGTTAAGCAAGTGAGTGAGTGTTCGATTATGAGCTTTCATCTATACTTACTGCATCCTGTTCTCGGTGAACTTTGTACTCCTTGAAATACATAGCAAGCCCCCTTGTTAGAGGTGCTGTGACTGGTGCTGTATTTGTTTTGTTTGATGTGCCGATGTCTTGTGAGGGTTGAATGTAGGGATTGAATCGTTTGCAATGGACAGCAGTGATTTTGCTGCAAGGTGATGCTGATGTGAACGGCATGATCATGAGTAAGTTGTGTGATCCAGCTTTCGTGTATTATAACTTTTAAATAAGGCCTTGACAGTCATTTGGAAACGTTTCAATTGTATTTCCTACTCGCTTCCATACTGTATCAACAAGATAAAGATCAAGATCATAGTCAGAATCTTTCTGGTTATTCCCTCTCCAGGTGATGCTATGGGGTATCCCCTCTGCCGCTGATAAAATGTTTCTGTTTTATCCCTCCGCAATTATTGAAACCTACTATGGGCTGAACAATACACTCCCCCCTTCCAGGACCAAACAATAAGCCTTTGCAGACTTTGAGCAATTTAAAGCAGGCATAGATCATTACAGTCATTTTCAATCCTTCCAATATCTTGTGATGGGAAACTTGCCAAGTCATATCTCTGGCCGACAACCCGTTTTTCGTGATGTCTGCTCTGTATATCAATTCCTCTGTTTGTGGTGACTTACAAAAATTTCTTAGATGCAGTCTTGGGACTCCATGTCAATGATTGCCACCTCTGGCACAGTAAGGCTTTTCATAGGTATAATGCTCTTGCTAAGTGCTATTTTACAGGACACGAACACCAGTCAGCAGGATGCTGCCACCCAAAAAAGCAAGACACGATCCCTGAAGCACTGTAGAGACAACAATACTGAGAGGGGCTATACGAAGGTGGCTCCAAACTGATGTATTTGTGTTGTGGTCTTTGCACTGCCTAGTCTGCTATACTTGCCTGACAAGTGCGTTCGACCCAGGGGTCTGCGGTCTGGGAATAGTCTTGGGGGTAAGTGAGTGATGTGTGATCAATAGTCCAAGCGCGGTAAACAATGTCCGAAGGTATATTTACGATGTCCGATGCAAAAGCGTCGGGTCCGATGTTTTCGGGGTTTCGGGTTATCGGGTTCGGGTTCGGGGTGTCGGAAACTAATAGTAACGCTATAGCGAGCGTCGGAAGAGCGAGCGGTGTGCGCAATAATAACAATGACTGATACGGATAATGAAAGAGCGATGATATTCACAATATCAACTAAGAACTACGAAATATCGGGTTTGACCACTAAGCGTCGGGGAACTGCTCCCCTCTACTTGGATAATGAATAATGCTCGAGGTCAGTCCAATATATATGTAAGTACGTAGAAATGCGGAACCCGTAGGCGAAAGTAGCGGCGGAGTATTTCGGATCCGAAGTACATGTAAATAAACATGAGGCGCTGCGGACTATGGGAAAACATGTAATAGCGCTGGCTATGACGTGAGTAATGTGCGAAATAATGAACTACACACCTAGTGGGGCTAGCAAGACAGGACAGGACACGGATAGGACAAGTGCGCGGGAAATCATCGGGTCCGATGCGGCCTAAACGTCGGGTTGGCGGGTTAGCGTCGGATAACATCGGGAAGTGATTAGCATGTGATGGGTATTTGACGTGTACTGTAAAATAGCTCGATACGAGCCCAGCGCCAGCTCGTGTCCTACAGCGCAACATCAATTTTGATGATTCGTTATCCCCTTGAAAACGACGCATCTTAGAGTCATATTCCACAGGCAACATACACCAGGTTGCTACTATCAAGTTTCAACCTGAAACTATAAATCGTTGCAACACCGACTTTACAAGCCTCACAGCGAAGCATTTGCACAGAGAAGCGGTATGTGAAAACCTACCCATATATTGTGCTCTACTGATCTCTCGGCTGTAGTCTGACATCTTCTTGAAACGTAAAGCGGACACCCATCTCAATCCCTTTTCAATCAAGCGCATAAAACTTTATGAGCCTTGTAACACCACAGCATTCATTTGGTCCCTGCTGGCGGAAATCCTCATTCTTATTGTTGCTCTTCTAGGAGCGCAAGATATGTGTCATGTCGCACAAGTTTGTTCTCTGTTGAGAGAAATTGCTGGCCTGCTCTTTTTCGCCAACCGGAACTTTCCAACTTTCCCAGGGGACCTGTTTCACATCCATGTAGATTCGCCCAACTTTGACATATTGTCTACTTGGATATGGATGGATCACTTCTGCCCACCACATATGATGTTGTGTTGGTTGATTCTGAAGTGCGAGCCCAACAGTTATCTGCATTCTCGCACTTCCTTCAATCCGTCCCTTACAAATTGGTGCCATACATCACGCTTTTCTGGAATTTTGCACCTGAGTGACACCGTTTATGTTACTACTTAGTAACGTGAGAACGTACGCTCTCGCGTTACTAGTTAGAGGGAATAATCTATACTACAGTACTGCACCACTTACTTCAGTAATCAGCAGTGACTTCGCAGGTACGTTTTTTTCCTCTCGGCTTTATCCGACGGTGGCTTAGCTGACTGCAGCATAATCAACTTTCGGCAATGTGCGGGCTGGGTGCAGACCACTCCCGCCGCTGGCGCCAACGTTCCCACAGCCTCTGCTCATCGTCTACAACGACAAGCACGCTATATCACTCAACCTTACCCAAATTTGAGCGCATTTTTTGCGCATCCTTTGTCTTATGGTCCTACTCTACTCTTGTGATGTTTTTTCAAGTGCATCTGTCTCATTTTAGCTACATATTCAGTGAGTATTTGTGTACCTTCTGTGTTTCTGACTAAGCATACTAACTGTTGTTCCTCACCGCTATGGGGCAGATCAATGTCACACACAGCAGGCTGCCCTCGCTGTGGAGGCTTCGCTGGAAGCTGGGTCGACTTTCAATATGATGGACCAGTTTTACGATGGTGAGTCGTTGATGCAGCGTTCAGACGGCAGCGATGGTGACACGGACGGTGTAGCAGCATGGACTTCCCATTCTTCAGCCCTTACACGTCTAGCAACATGGACTTCCCATTCTTCAGCCCTTACACGCGTCTAGCAGCATGGACTTCCCATTCTTCAGCCCTTACACACGTCTAGCAGCATGGACTTCCCATTCTTCAGCCCTTACACATCTAGCAACATGGACTTCCCATTCTTCAGCCCTTACACAACACGGGCGGTGTAGCAGCATGAACTTCCCATTCTTCAGCCCTTACACGTCTAGCAGCATGGACTTCCCATTCTTCAGCCCTTACATGACACGGGCGGTGTAGCAGCATGGACTTCCCATTCTTCAGCCCTTACACGTCTAGCAGCATGGACTTCCCATTCTTCAGCCCTTACACGACACGGGCGGTGTAGCAGCATGGACTTCCCATTTTTCAGCCCTTACACGTCTAGCAGCATGGACTTCCCATTCTTCAGCCCTTACACGTCTAGCAACATGGACTTCCCATTCTTCAGCCCTTACACGTCTAGCAGCATGGACTTCCCATTCTTCAGCCCTTACACCTATTTCGAGGGAACGGTAATAGTGTTGCACGATGGACTTCCCTTTCTTCAGCCCTTATACTTCCATAGCAATTACATGTGCTCTGTACTAATAATGCTAATGATTACTCATTGTCCCCATCATCCCCTTCATTCTCGTCACTCTCACTGCTACTCTCAACAATGGCAGCACTCTTTTCTACTGTCTTTTTGGTGCGCGTCTTCCGTGGTTTGTAGACGGTCTCCCCAGCTGCTTGCCGAGCATGATTGCTGGTAATCCTGTCTGCAAGCTCTTCCTCAGTTAGCTTCGTCCATTTACAGGTCTCTTTGATGAGTCTGTTGATCAATAATTGCACTGACTTGCGTCCGCCAATACTAGAGGGATTCCGGACTGGCAGAAGTTCGAAGGGCCAACCTTTGAGCTCCACGCCATAGTGTTCAACAATGGTGTGCTCGTAGTTAGTATAGTTCATTTTCGCGTGGTTGGCGAGTTTGTTTTCGCACAAGATAAAGTCTGCATCAACATCAGCAACAATGAAAACTCCATGATAGAGATGGTGCTCACCAAGTTCGTCTTGTATGAGCGTCCGACATTCACTGACCAGCTGGTTGAGGGATTTTTTCTCCCTTGATATAGTCGGTATGTCTTCAGCTGCGGGAATAGAACGTCATCAAAAACACATTAGTTAGAGTAAAATATAGAAACTTACCAAGGCCAGAGACAGCAAATGCTTCCAGTTTTAATGCCAGGCACCGAGGCTCAAGATCCAGAACGGCTCGCACAAACTTCTCGGCCTTCTCTGAAAAAAAAAGTTTGGGACCACTAAGGTCCTCAATTCCACCGCGGACAGCCACATAAAAGCCTTCAACACCGAGGCGGGAGCAAATAGCTGTCCACTGGATTATATGCCTGTCAGAAAACGAGCGACGAAGAAAATAAGAAAGTACCTCTTGGTCCATAGCAGCAAAAGTAGCCTGCATGTCGCGCTGGACCGCTCTTGGGTTGTCGCGGACCATGCGCTGCTTGTCGGCACGCATCTTGATAATCTCGACTTCGTAATTATTCTTTTGAGCGCGTGAGAGTCTTGCATAGTCGTTGCGAAGAGTTTCTTTATGAGACTCAATAAACTCTGTGAGTTTCCAATGGTTACCCTTTGATAGGCCTGGAAAGGAGTTGAAATTGAGCACAAAGTGATATAGATACACACACCTTTGTTTATGTCATCCAGTCGTTGGCGAACAAATGCATTCCACGCGTTTGGACGCCGAGAACGCCAAACCGTCTGACCCCCAAGGTAAAGTTGACGTCGCGTCCAACGCTCGGAGCTAGTAGCATCTGTTGAGCCTCGGAGTACTGTCGTTATGTATCATGATAGAAGGTCTCACTGTCCATGTTTCTTGGCAAGGACTTGAACCTGGTCCATGTAGGTTGTGCGAGCACCGTTCACATCATCAGTGAGTGCAATGAACTTCGCACGACGCGCAGCCTTCTGACACGTTGTGAGCTGGGGACGGACTTTCTTGACTTTGCTTGTATTTCCGCGTGCCATGATGAACTGAATAGGCGAGGTAAGTAACAAAATTTCTGACTTACATAGAGGGCTATTTATCGGACAGCAGCGCAGCAACGGCACTCGCTCGAAAATATGGACCCGAAAGAAGATATGAGATTCTGACATGCAATAACATTACAAAAAATTGTACTTAGTAGATCAAAGACACTAAAATTTGATTCAGTCATTTCGCTCCTTTGCCGAAACTCAAAACTCACCTAGATTATGGATAGCGTACAAAAGAGCAGATTTTCGAGGCTCAAGCACCAAGTTATCATCAAGAACATATGGCCACTGCGTGTCCTCGAAGCCTTCCCTTTGAAGAACACAAGAGTGAATCTCACGGACAACACCACGTGGAAGATCATGCAGGGCAAGGATGACCTTTACGTCCTCAAAGGTAGGAGTGTTTGGGGTACCAACACAGCCGTTCAAACATTCAGTGCCGAGATTTCGGACAACTGGGTAACCAGGAGCCGAACCTTGAGGCAACTGACGACTTTCGGCCATTGCGCCAGGGCCCAATGCATCAAGCGACGTCGAGCAAGATGGGCTACCAGTGGTGTCTCTAGCGTAGACACCAGGATGGGTCTCCGCAGGCGTGAGCTCTTTAGTGCCCGAGTGTGACCTTGAGTGATTTTGTCAAAACAAAATGGAAGGAATGAACACACCGTTGTTAAGTTTAAAAGCAATCCGCTCGACATCGGAGATGTTGTTGGACGTCGTGTCAGTCGTGGTAGCATCTAGATGAGAATCAGTTGGCAGTAAGGCAAATGAAAACAAAAAAACTCACTCCATCGTAGTCTAGTAGGCAGATCAACCGTTTTCCAACAGTTGTTTGGAAACCAGGAGTCACGAATCTGAGGGAGCGAATGGCTGAGAAGAGTAGTAGTGATTTTACTCATGGCATCGGCAAGCTCGTAGGTTGGCGGATGAGACACAGTAGCTTTGAGTATGATGTCTGGAGATTTAATGGCGAACATCCTGCGTCCTTGAGGCCCTCGTTTGTACCTACGTTTTACTGGCCGGTTGAAATCAAATGTTGCATGGAATTGAATACATATGAAGTCGTGCTGAATCAACAGTGAGTGCACACAGCTTCTAGAGACAGAAAGAAAAAGCGCACCAGTACATCATCATCAGCGCCAACTGCAAGGTCTAAATAGTGAAGGCGGTGGAATGGCTGAGGCAGACGACCATCCGGGCCGCTTGATTCTGTCGTGAATGTGGAGTTTGAAGTAGGCATAGTCAAAGTTGCGCGATTGCAGAAAGTAACAGACTTGGAGGATATGAAAAGCAAGAGTGAAAATAAGATTGAAAAGGCGTCCAGAAAGTTGGCCTTTTGAAGGCTGGGAGGTTTGAGACTCTCCTAATTAATGACTGTGACACGTTGCGGACAGTCTGCAAGTGCAGGATGAAGCGAGATATGAGGCAGGTATTTGGCAGATGCACATGCGGCACACTGCATGCAGTTGCAATGTGGCGTACAAACGTCACATCAATCTAAGATTGATCCAATCATTCAATAACTACTAATAATACACCCATCAATTTAAGATCTTCGTGATTGTATGCATTCTGGCACAGGTACTTCTTCGTCTTCACAGCGTAGCAGCAGCATGGACTTCCCTTTCTTCAGCCTTATTGCGAGGGGACAGCATAGCAAGGCTCAGAACACGATGTAAGGACTGAAGAAAGGGAAGTCCATGCTGCTACGTTGTTACTGTTCCCTCTGAACAGTGTAAGGACTGAGGGAAGTCCATGGCTTGCCATGGACTTCCCTTTTTTCAGTCCTTACACTGTTCAGAGGGAACGGTAACAACGTAGCAGCATGGACTTCCCTTTCTTCAGTCCTTACATCGTGTTCTGAGCCTTGCTATGCTGTCCCCTCGCAATAATTTAAGACTTGTTCTGAAGGAATGGTAAATGCGTTAACAATCAATCCTCAAATTCGTGCGTAATGCAAAATCACAGAAGAGAACTACAATGACATCTGCTGAATACATAAGTCAAATCATGCCGCCTCGTCTCCTTCTAATTCATCTTCAATCATCTCTACTGAGACTTCATCTACAGAGTCCAATGAGTCATCTGTTGCGGTCACATCAGAAGGAACACAGCCAGTAAATCCTTCAAGTGAATATATGCGATTGATACGAACACGGTGCACATCATTGACCCTCCGCTGCTGATGATACAGCCTCCAAATTTCTGATGCAAGCGGAGGGTTAGTTAGCTCAAGCTCAGTGGCCACGTGTTTGATGTCAGAATCCTCAGCATCGATCCAAGCGTGCAAGCGGCGGATTTCAACATTGAGTCGAGTAATCTCCTCACGAGCTCGGAGAATCTTGAAGTACTTGACACCCATCTGACGATGTGTGGTGTTGCTCCAAGGCTTGGTCAGGATATCGTGTCGTGAATGTTTGAGGATATCAAACTCGCCAAGGGCCACATAAGACAGAATCTCACTATATTGTAGTGTTGGCCTTCGTGGATTTTGCACGACAGCGAGCTTGTTGTACTTGTCTAGTGCAGTACGAATTGCACCCGATCGTTTGACGATGGCTCAAGATATTTGTCTTCGAAGTTTATAGCCTGCGAAAGATTTCATCAGTAGAATGCATTAATCAACATTAAGTTAGTACCGGTTGACGAGAGATTAGCTTTAGACAACTCAAACAAGCGCTGGACGACAAGACCCTCAAGATCTTCGACCACACGAATGAATTTCCGTCGTCGGCTATATTCAAGTGTCTCCTGATAATCTGAATATCCAGGTGTCCACCGTTCAGCAATGTCGAGGCGGGTCTCGAGATCCTCAACAACATTGATTTGAATTTGAAGACGGCGTTCCACTGCACGCCGAGCCGCTTGTGCCTGCTTAGTTGATTGAGAAGCTGCAACACTCAACCCAGAGTCAGGTGTGAATGATGATGGCAAGTACGTCAGAAATTTATCAGTTCCAAACGAGTCGAACTGTTGTCTGAATTGATTGTGAACTTTAAAATATATGCAAACGAAGTAAAATGAATCTTACTGGTACGTGTTGAGCTTCTCAAGCGCTTCAACGTAATCGACTGCAAGAGCGTCGCGTGCAGGCTCCGATGCAACGGACTCCAGATATGCGAGTTCTTCGGTTACCCAAGTCTCGAAATCCATGGCTTGGTCAGGAAAGGATAAGCGGTAGGCGTCGAGTTCTTTGGTAAAATCATCAATCAGGGTAACCGCTTGTTTGTAGTTATTGAAAATAAAGCGGCCTAAATTTCAATTAGATCAATCAGAATTACTACATAGTCAGACAATAAACGCTCACTGAGTTCCAAATATTTATCCATGTCCCATTGGTCGAAATGCAGGTCTAGGAACTGACCATAGTGAAAATGCGATGCATGACGAATGAGACACGCTGCAGCGTTCGAGCTTGCAAAAATATGTTCACAAGTTTCGAGATCTTCAAGTCTGAAGCCACGTAGGTACATGGGGTGATACTGCAGCTGGCATTTGCGGTTGTGAGCGTGTCCGTGGAATGCATTCACTGACAGCGAAAGTTTACGATCGAAGGCTTTGTCTCGTATAGAGCTGGCGGCGACTGTCTTAGATAAGCTGCAACCGATATCACTACCAATGGCTTGATTGTCACCGAAGACGTCGAGAAGCTTATTGATAGTAGCGAGAGGATATTTCGCACTTTTGAAAATCATTAGCAACATAATATTGAATTGTATTGAAAACTTACAGCTCGCCACTGCGACGCATCTCAGTGACCGTTTGAATGATTCCGTGTCGACACGCAGAGAGAAAGATACCAGTCTGTTCAAAAACATGGACAGTGTTCTCCTCTGTTGAGTTAGCGGCTTTCCAATTGTCAGTGCAAAATGTTAATTGATCGGCTCCGCGTTCACCAGGACGTAGTCGTATGTCATCCTTGAACACGTCAACTTGATCAGGGGGAATCATGTATCTGCTGGGAAAGATGCGGAGGTCGGCACTGCCGGCATTTGCCATGCATTTCGCAGAATTGTTCCCATCCATTGCTTTGAGACTGGCAGGATACAGCGGACATTCATTAGGTTGCTGTTGAAATAGATCAGACAATGATGTTTTTAAAATAAAAATAACACACTGACCTCAAACGTGCACGGCGGACAACCATGTCGAAGGCGCCAGTCAGGATCTATGCGGCCGAGTGCCATGTCCACTTGAGACCGAACACTACGAAGTATTGTGAGATAGATATCGAATGCGATCGAAAATTGATCACGGAATGTTTGCGCGTAATTGACCTAATGATTGATTAGAATGCTGTAAGTCCATGCACAAAGAATGACTTACATTATGTATTGCGCACAAGACCTTTGTGAATGCCTGGATGCTGAATGAAGATTGCCGTCGTCGAAGCTGATGATAGAGCTCAAGACATTGCAGGCTAATTGCAACAGTCGGTGCAGTAGGAGAGCAGCCGAGTAGACCCACGTGCAATAGAGACACATTCGCGACTTCTTCGTGCTGTTGTGTGATATCGTGAAAGTAGTCTAGTTCTAGAAAATGTAAGTAACGAAATCTTTTGTTTAAAAAAAATGTACCAAAGACATGCACCGCTGTGACCTGGAACTTGTGAGCCGAAGTTAGAGCGACATTGAGCGAACTGTTATGCTTCCAAGTGAGATACGCATTTGTCAGTGCAGGCAGCTGCAAGCACCATGAAGCGTGCATATTGGTGTAGCGTGCTTCTCGTGTCCGTTGGTCACTACGGTGTTTCAACGAGCTGCAGTAACCTTGATTAGCCAGAAAGACTGAGTAGAAGAAATACAATATGTACCTGTTTTGTAACTGCAGCCTAGCATAGGCAGAGAGTAGCCAGGATTCGACTGAGTAACGGCCCTCATTACTGTTGCTGTCCGTGTCCGTGTCTGTATCCGTGTCTGTGTCCGTGTCGCCATCACTGCTGTCTGAACGCTGCATCAACGATTCACCATCGTAAAACTGGTCCATTGTATCGAAAGTCGACCCAGCTTCCAGCGAAGCCTCCACAGCGAGGGCAGCCTGCTGTGTGCGACGTTGATCTGCTCATACGTCGCTGTAAGAATGAAAGACAAGACTGATTTGTACACTCACCTTGAGCTTGAAGTTGGAGCTCTCTCTCAGCTCGCAGGCGGTCTGCTCGTATATGGGTCAGGCTTGCAGATGTGGTCCGTGGGCCTGTATGACGAAGTACGGTCATTGTGACCCTCTGCGACGTTGTGCGGAACGGACGCTGTCTCCCCATGGTGGTGAGGAACAACAGTTAGTATGCTTAGTCAGAACACAGAAGGTACACAAATACTCACTGAATATGTAGCTAAAATGAGACAGATGCACTTGAAAAAACATCACAAGAGTAGAGTAGGACCATAAGACAAAGGATGCGCAAAAAATGCGCTCAAATTTGGGTAAGGTTGAGTGATATAGCGTGCTTGTCGTTGTAGACAATGAGCAGAGGCTGTGGGAACGTTGGCGCCAGCGGCGGGAGTGGTCGGCACCCAGCCCGCACATTGCCGAAAGTTGATTATGCTGCAGTCAGCTAAGCCACCGTCGGATAAAGCCGAGAGGAAAAAAACGTACCTGCGAAGTCACTGCTGATTACTGAAGTAAGTGGTGCAGTACTGTAGTATAGATTATTCCCTCTAACTAGTAACGCGAGAGTGTACGTTCTCACGTTACTAAGTAGTAACATAAACGGTGTCACTCAGGTGGAATTTTGACATCCTTGTTTCGCCGATACTCCCTCAGATCATCACATTTCTCGAGAACATCCATGCTTCCGTCTGCGAAGAACTTACGTGCATGGGATTTTGTCTTTTTGTTCGCTCATCAGCCATTGCTCAACTAACCTGAATTCAGAGACACACAGGTGCAAATCACCTCAAAGCCTTTGAGGTGTCCTCGGGGGTGTTATTTTCCCCAAAGCTCTTTCCTTTCACGATCCAGACTATCTGTTCTTCTCATTTGGAGAAGCTTTGACTTAGCCACATCAAACTCAGTCTGCACACTGGGACAAGCTCCTGTGGTACTTGGCCATTCCAACGCTCGTCAAACTCCGAGTTGATGCTGATTGCGCGCCATCCTCACTCATTCGTTTTCTGGCCCGCCACCCTGCTATCAATAACCTCAGTGTCATTCCTTGACCTGGTGGTTTCTGGAGGACCAATCAAATCACCACTCATCTGACATTATCTATAACTATGCTAGATGGACCTTCGACCCATATTCTCCCAGTCCTCCTAAGTCTCCGTAAACCGCCCGCCCTTGCATGTCTTGCACTTTCATTGCAAGCTCATAATGCATCGCCTAACTACATTACCACCATTTTACAATGTGTTGGTCATTGCGACAGCATTGGATATCTCCTTCTTTCCCTGCCTCTACAGAATCATTCCCTTTCAGCAATGATTTGGCCAGGCACTTCTTCAGCAGTCCGTGTCAGACACTTGGCGATTGACTCCTTAGATGCTACAGGAGCATCCTCTCTTTCCGCAGGAGATGCATTGGTATGTGTTTGTTGCTTGTTCAAGCAGACACTATTTCGATATTGATCGTAGCCACAGGCGTTATCTGCGGTGTGGATTGAAGCTTTTCCTGAAGTCAAGCGTTGACCTGCACCAAACTGGTTCGGTGCATGGATGACTAATACTCTCCTAAGAGCCCTATACCCTATGAAATCATTTTCCCTGTGACCTGAAGTCAGACCAAGGCTAAGGGAATATTTTTCGCTCTTGGTCACTTTTGCAAGTTTGCATGCAAGCAGACTGAATATTTTAGTACATTTAATTCTGCAATGAGTTTTGCTTAGTCAGCCATGGTGATGACCCAGACAAAATCCCGCGCATGTCAGGTGACTGTGAAAAATATTTCCCACATATGTTGTCCTGGAAAAACATTAGTAAAACCCTAAATACTAGGCTCGCGTCATTTTCACCCTCCAAACAAAGCAAAGAAAAGACACACATACAAAGGATTCACATCATGTGACATTTCTTACTTTCTTTCTGGACTTGTCATCAGGAGTTGGATAGGTCACATGACTAGCAACAAGCCAGGATGACTTACACATCGGGGTTATCGATATTTAGGAGAGGTTTATATGTTGTGTAAAATGTGAAGAAAATATTTAAAATTTAAATTGACATAAAGATGGGTACATAACTTCAAATTTGGGCAGCATTTTGTGCAAAATCGAAAATATGAAGCATCCGCGACCGTTTTCCCACCAATCACACGTTAATGAAAATATGAAATATAAACAGATTTTCAGCGTCTGCGTGAATATGAAGCTTAATTATCACGTAAAACGTTGGACAAAACTTGAAGTTTAGTTTGTCACCACATGTTTGTCAATGTATCAAGTTTTGTCTAACAATTAGGCGCCCCTGAAAATTTGAAGTTTACGCCGGTGACAAAATGTAATGACTAAACTTCAAGTTTGGTCCACAGACAAAATGAATCGCCCGATTATCGCCCGCCCATTGCCCGCCCATTGCCCACCAATTGCCCACTCATAGCCCGCTGGGATTACGATTAAGGTGGGGGCGCATACACCTTGAAGAGTCAGTGGCGGCTGAAATAAAGATTGTCACAACAATGTTCATGAAGATAATTTACGAGTCAGAGCGCATTGAGTGAAACACAATCATTCCAAATCAGCAGATATATACAAATCATTTTGACATGTATCCTATGAATGCGCTAATTCTCTGTAAATGCTAAGCAGGAACTCAGAAATGTGCAAGTGAAAGTGACAACAGAAAAATGTTCTTACCGTTTGCTTTGGTAGCAAGAAAACTGCAGCATGTCGCGTGAACATTCTTTCTCATTTTGTTCGTGCCTGTATTGAACTTGATAGAGGTTTTCCACTGTGAGTTGGTCATTGGACCATTAACGTCATTGGTAGATAAATGTCGGTTTCGGGAAACACCGTCTCGAATATTGTCGAGGCGTTTCTGGAACCAGTGTTCACATCGAGTGGACCAGAACCCCACGTTCAATCCAGACGTAGCCCAAGCCTGAGGTCTAGGCCACCAAGAGATCTTTCCTACATTTCCAGCATCTAATTATCTAAATGTAAGCGCTGCTGCCTGTGGGGGCAAGAAACTTACTGTCGTATATGTAATACGTCCCGCAAATAAAATCCACCTCTTCCTCCGACAACTCGTCGTCGAAGTTAGTCTGGCCATCAATGGACAACATGAGGCCGAATGGAACAGCTTCCCGCGAGATGCCATCAAGAACTGACGGGAGTGCATCAAAACCAATGCTATGTAAAGCTAACCGCCATACGAGCCCCTTGTGAAGAAGCGCAGCTCTTGCACGAGGCTGATTCATAAACTCATGACGATACTGCTCATACACGACATAATCAGCATATACAGCGCTGAAAGTAGGGGGCTTGTATCCAAGCGAGTATGTGCGGAGTTCCATAACTGGGCGTCGCGCGCAAGGCGGAACTGCTATCGGCTGCAATGTCTTGAAAGCTATTCCTTTTTGAAGAAGATTGCGCGCGATCTCCATGATGTCATACCCCCAGTCACGGCGAAGGCACATCAGAGCCGTGGCAGCGTCGGGGACAACAAGTTTCCAGGGGACAAGACTTGGTGATAGACACGGCTGGATGACATAGAGCTGCTGCTGCTCGGACACGTGGATATAAGAAACTCGAATATTTGCATTCAAGGCCAACAGGGAGGTATCAGGTCCTAAGTCCCAGAGATCAGACGGTATCTGAGACAACTGAGAGCTGGGTAAGGTGACAAGATAACCGACGAAACATGTGATAATGCGCTTCTGTGCATCTGCAACAGATTCAACATCGTCGCCTGAGTCGCCGATGAGTTTGCATAGGTTAATCCACGTAGTCCTCTGAATCCACTGTTCAAACGTGGTTGATCTGTCACGAGCTGTGTGGGTTGATGCTGTGAGCTGAAATCCGAGATGGAAACAAAGGATTGAGGCAAAACATTCAATACCACTAGTGTAATTCAACAAGGGTGCAACCTCATGATGACCAAAGTAGTTCTTGATATCCTGCATGAAACTGGATAGTGGGGGTGGAGGGGGCGGGGGCGGAGGAGGACCAGAAGGAGCGGGAACAGGCAAGAAATGATCCTCTTCCCAGTCGCCTTCGGGAGTGCTGGTAGGATCCAGCGCATCACATAAGTCCCACTCATTACAAAATGAGTCATAAATCCTAGTAGATCGACTATAGTTTCCCCAAGTCGTTGATATCTGGGTCTTTGTGAGGCGGATGTGCAGAAGAAAGCCGTCGAATTCGTCTTGGGGTTGCCATTCAAACACCGTGGCCGTATTGGATTTTCCGGGAATACTATGGCTCATTGCTGAACGCTCGCAGCTCTGACGTGACTGCCGGCGAGTTGGAGTCTCCTTGGCTTCCTTCACCTTATTTTCCTCGTGGCGCCGCGCAAAGAACACATGGTATTCCTCTCCTGGCTTCTGCCCGCTGAGTCGTTCTGGGACCGGAAACAGAGGATCTACGCGTTGCTGAGGACCTGCTGATACGAGCTGGTGTTCTCCACCGTCCAGATTCCACCCGAGGCCACTCTGACTCCAAGCCTGATCCCATTCAACGACGCTCTCACTTCCATTATCCGGTTGACCCCACGTCCCATGTGTCTGACCCCAGGCGCTGTCAGCATGCATCTGGCCCGACTGCTGCGCCTCGATCGCATCGGCAATGGCTTTTGGGGACAGGATGTAATGATGCAACTTGATGTCGACAGCAGTGTTGCCGTCATAGCAGACCCAGATTGGGATCGAGAATGCTTCAAACATAGGTAATTGTGCCTCCCAAGGACAGTAGATGGAAGATATAAAAACCCCGGTGCGTGGTACATTAGTCGACAAATCCCCTACAAATGAGCGAGATAGCTCGAGAACCCATTCAGCTGGGATGGGATACGTAGGGTCATCGGTTAAGAGAGATATCCAGGCACGATCGGAACCTCGATATCGGCGGCTCATGATGTGCCATGTACATATAGCGACGATTGCTAGAAGTATGTCAGCCACCGTGCAATGTAATGAAAATGGAATGGACGTACATAGAAATGAGTTACGTGACCTCAATGCAACTTTTTTCGCAAGCCTAGCGTCTACATGGGATCTTTGGTACCCATAACTAGTGGGAGCACGTGCAAATAGAGTGCCCCATGGAACAAGAAGTCCTGCACCCAAACGTTCCTGGCACCAGAGCAATTTCTGCTCTAAATTGCGCCATTTCTCCCTGATGTCGCGATGGAGTATATACTTGCCTTGTCTATCGACCTCTATTCGCAGCGAAAACGCGGAGTGGTTCAGGCATGCAAAAATCGGTCCATCGAAGTCAGGATTTAGAGGGACAAGAGGAAGCCACGGGCGAGCTGCATACACCCAGCGTGTGGTGAGTGGTGTATCACTATCATCGGGCGAACTGTCATGGGGGTCATGCAGGTCCCAGGCAGGCTGGTGAGGTATCGCTTCTGGAAGCGAATGTGTGGTGAGAGAGGTGTAGACCTTGTCATCACAACAAAAGACTTTGAGACTGGTAGTAGTCATCGGAAAGGGTGGTTGGTTGATCCGTAGAATAGCAGAGTAGACTGAAGCACTACCACAACAGTACAAACTGTTGTGCTAGGTTAGTCCAGAATTGCACTGACGCGTAGAATGAGAAACAACTTCTACCACAACAGTACAAACGGTTGTGTTAGGTTGAAAGGAGTAAGCAGCAGGCCGGATACATAAGACTTATGACTTTGGCGGGCAATGACATACACAATAGTCACAAATAGCTTATGTAATACTTTCGTTCCAGCATCCATATTCGAACCTTCATCATGATGGTTCCACACATTCTCGAGCTCGACGGTATGTACCGTCAAGCTCATCGTTCTCAATCACCATGATCTTCTTCGAGCACGATGGTATGTACCGTTGTGCTCTTGACCACTGGGATTTCCACCACCACCTCCTCACAACCTTCAAGCCAACATCGGATGCCACACCTCGTCTATGACATCTCCCAATGGAGCACATCACATCTTTCTTTGGTTTCCCGCTCGGCGATCCTTTAGATCATGCGGGTGTGGCGATAATGCATAACTTTGGTATGCAGTCCAGTCCGCAAAAGCCAGTGTCTAACGTCTTCAATCCAGCCGTTCACGTCTCAACCATGTACGGAGCAGCAGCTCATCATCATGTATATCGATCGACTCGCCTTCCATTTTTTAGATCGTGTGGATCAAGCTATCCCGTTAACCCCTCCACCGTACATACAGTGGAGGGGGCAGCGATTTTTCAGGCCTTTTACGCACGTCGGTCAACCTCTGATATATTGCCCTACCTACCTATACCACATATTACGCTACTATCACTTTTATCCATCTAAACGTCTCATTCGACATTTCCAACCTCTGAACTTCCCGCTCAGTAAGATCAGAAATCCATTCGCCATTGTATAGGCCCTTGGGTAATCCTGTCATCGGGCTCCGTGAAGTCTTCGGATTACCGGGCGCACGTATCCTTTTCATCGGCTTTGAACCCTGGGGCGAGAAAATATCGTCATCCAACACTCTCTGATGGTCAATAATGTTCAGTTCTCTCTCTACCTCATGACACCATGGCATATTCTTGACCCGGAGTACCATTTCCACATCATTCTCGACGTCGCTCTCTTCAGAACTCATCCCATCGTCTCCCAGCGTCTTGACTAGCCTCTGAAGCCACTGCCAAGTTGGGAGATCCTCGGCGGTTTCATCCTTTTTCAACTCAATGACGTGATGAAGAACTTTTGTTCTTCACATATATTTCTGGCATTGTCATTAGCATCTGAACGACTTCGAGATTGTGGACATACATTTCGTCGACGGGTTGCTTGACGAACCAATTTGAGAGTTTTGTCTCTCTGTGCGACCAACCTCTTCTCCACCTCTTCTCCAGTTTCCAATGTTCCCTTCGCTGTGACCTTTGCCTGCCCTTCTCTCCATATTGTCCGCAGCCGCTTGTAGCGATGCTCGAGTATTTCTCTGTAGTAGCCATCCAACCTTCGGACTACCCATCCCTCTTTCTCATCCCTCTCCTTCAAATCTTCAAGGAGCAAATCGAGAGTCCTCGCATTCCAAGGGGTTTTAGATCCATTTGCGAGATCAAAGGCGAGTTTCTGGTAGTCAGGGCCTGGACCATCTTCGTGCTCGTATGAGTTCACAATGTCACAAGCGGCTGTCTCGTGGGCTAAAAAATCTGCATCTTGAGATATGTTCAATTTTTCTTGGAGGAGACGCTGGACTTCATCCTGCTCCACGCTCAGTAGAATTCTTCGTGTCAAAGTTCTAGCTCACCAGAAGGAAGTCTCTTTCATGGCTCAACTCTGCAGCCCTTTCTATCCTAACTTCATCGTCCTGCATTTTTTTACTTTTCCTTCGAGGTCTCTGCTTCATGACTGCCAGAAGATCCTTGTTGATGAAGATGCATTTGAGTGCCGCCTCTACGCCTCTGGAAACCGCGTTCTCCATCGCAGACATAGGGAAAGCATCGCCTGATTGCAGCGGTTCTGGCTCGACCGTGGGTGATCATTCTTGACGCGTTTCTATAGGGTCATCGTCCTGCTATGGCATGAGTGCAAAACCAGTTTTGACCATGTCTAGTACTTACATCTGCCACAGATACCAGACGCGTCCTGCGCGTTGTTCCACGTGCCCTCTTGATCCTTTTGATTGCATCAAGGGATGGAGTGTTGGAGTGTGGTTTCTGAGGCGTTTTGGCCTGCTGCTGAGCGCTCATGGGGGTGGTGTCTGCGTCCATATCCATAGCTGTATCCCGTTGCCTACCGCGTCTCGCAAACCGTTGCTCCATGTTAGCGAGCTCAGCCTTTTTTGCTGCCTTCAGGGTTTCTACTTCTAGTTGCAACCTTCGTTCTACCTCGGCCCCAATCACTTTCTCGCGTTCTTCCAGCTGCTTGATACCATTAGGAATTGTTTAGGTGTTTTGTGTTCACCCTTACCTCTTTTTGTTTTCTTTCAGTTAATTCTACTGCCTCCTGGTACTGCTGCTGACGTTGTTGGCGAATTACCTATCAGCATTGTGAGCACACGTCTGACTGAACAGCACAACATAATCACTTCGAGTTCATTTTTATCATGGTTCAGTTGGTTTTCCCGCTCTCTCAAAGCCGCTTCCAATTGCTGAGCCTTCTTGCCGATGTCGTGCGCATGACACTTGTGTTCTTCTTCTGCAAGACGGCTTTGTTCCTGAATGCGTTCCTCAGCTTGCTGGCGCGCCTGCGATGACCAGTAAATAAGCGGTAATGCATCCAGAGTCTCGTGCGTACCACTTCTGCAAGACGGTGTTGTTCCTGAATGTATTTCTCAGCTTGCTGGCGCACCTGCCGATGATCAGCAAATCAGCAGGGATACATCTACCGAGTCTCTCATGCATACCACTTCTGCATGGTGTTCTTGTTCCTGGAGGCGTTCCTCAACTTGCTGGTGTGCCTACCGACGACCATCAGTGGTGATACATTCACCGAGTCTTTCGTGCGTACCATCCGTCCTTCCTCCATGATTTTGTTAATTCGTTCTTCTTGCTGATATACAGTCATACGAAGTTCTTGTGAATAGTCAACTTCACGAAAGCGACGTTTTCAGACGCCTGGATAGGACCATGAGTCGATGAAGCTGATTCACACTATTCAAACGTACCAGTTCATTTCTGACCCTCTTTTCCAGTCGAACTGCACTGGTCGAAGGTCGTGCTTCACTGGTTGAAGGTCGTGCTTCACTGGTCGAAGGTCGTGCTTCACTGGCTGAAGGTTGACTGAGAGCATCCAAAAAGTTACCAGTACCGCTCTCACAACCGTTGTCGTTGTCGTTGTCGTTGTCGTCAAACAATTCTGCGTCATGAGATGTTTGTACGTCTTCTGGCCCAATGCGTGGGCACTGTGTGTTAGTGTCATCGACACTCATAGGGTAATCCATTCGTTCGGTTGCACAATATCATAGTTCTGAGTCTTCTTAAATCACAGGTACATTATTGTCCCGTCAGAACTTTTGTGTCGCTCCTGCATCCATTTCTACTCAGGTTGTTGGTTCCATGGTAACTTTATAGTCATTGTTGAACAGACCGTCCATTTGTATTATGTACATATTCAGATTTGACGCTTACGTCCTTATTTCAGATACGACTACCCCCTTATTGTTTTTTGTTTTTGTTTTTGCCCAATATGGCAGTATGTTGAGTGCTTCCTCTCATAAATAATTCCTTGAAGTTCAGTGTTGCTATTCGGCTGTATCCCATCATGCGCAACACTCCCAAAGCCGTCCCTCCTTTCTATGACCTGGAGCCTGGTGCTCCACCACCCTTCCCTCCAATGCTCACGGACCAACTCGAGCTTTTTTGCAAAGATAATCATCGCCCGATTACACTGGTCGCCGACGAAATTCTAGTCCCTAAAGTTAGTATCGTCGCCCCCACTACAAGGTCGTCGTCCACACCCACCCCTGAGTCCAAAATTACCAAGCGATCACCCAAGCATTCTGAGCACACTTCCCCTCCATACCCGAAGAAGGTTGCTTTCACGTGTTCCCGTTCTCGAACACCTATGCCCTCAGATTCGGACGGCTCTTTGGATTTTTCATCAGACAGCGGCTCCTCAACTTCAAGCATAATTTTATCGGAAGACTCGAAAATCCCCAAACCTACTGGTGAACCTGGACGCCCAGGGCGTGGAGGGTATACACTTTATGAGGCATTAGATTGGAATCCAAAGGCATATGCGAAGTTCAAGGTTCGCAAAGTGTGCCCTCAGCTTGCAAAGTAACTCACAAACAACTAGAAACATATGCATCGCCTTATTGATGACCACCTTGACACGGCGAAGTGTGCTTCTGCCCAAAGTCCTATACTTTTAAAAGCTGTGCGCGACAAGGTAAACAGTATTCAAATCTCGACGTTGTTGATGATCTCATCGTATCTTAGGCTCTAGACGAATTCCCAGACCTTGAAAATTATAGCAACTTATGGCCAGCCAGCGATATGATCATGACACGCCTGAAATATATGTCCTGTCGCGCTCGACGGAAGGACGGAGAGATGGCTTTAGGCAAGGGCAAGGGCAGGAAGTGATAATCTAGGTGGGTTCGCAGTTTTGCTCCTACTAAGGCTATGACTGATACCTCCTCAGCAGCCTTTCAACTGTGTGCTTCGGCTCTCAAGACTTGCAGCTATTAGATCTAACTGCTGTAGAACGTAGATACAAACATGTATTTGATATGAATGCTGCACCATGACAATTCTAAGACATTTCAAACTCAAATAGGTCTCGTACGTGCGCAACCCTTTTGGTTGTCTAGCTTCAGTACACAGAGGCGCTTAGATTTAAACCCCCATCCTGGTCTAGCAGTGGGTGAAGCTTATTCATTATGTGTTGCGCTCTCACAAGCACGATGATAAATTTAGAACTTGATTGGGAGGTTTCGCTCCTCTGCTACTATATAACAATACAAACAATACATTTGCAGTCTAGCCGAAAATATTACGCTCCACACCTTGCCACTAATCGACAGTTATCACGAGTGCTCAAAGGTTTCACAAGAGTGAGATCACGTGGGAGCCTGGCTCTTGGACGACAGCTTATGCTCTGTGCGAAGCTGACAATGGTTAATGTAGGCTCGATAAACCTGTTGACTTCAACAACTCACTGGTGGATTATGAAGTCAGCAAGTGCATTGTCTCTCCCTCGCATGTTAACAACAGAGGGGTTTTTGACTCCGATCCTTGTAACTACTACGTCACCTCGGAACTGATGATCACCACTGCTGAGGAGTGAGTTGGCTCTAAGATGGAGATGTCGTTTGAAGAATATGCAGAATCGATAGGTGTGTCTCCCTTCGTGCACAGTGACAAAGCAGTTGTGAACATAAGGTTGCACAGTAGCCTCCTCGAAGAGGCTTTCAGGAATTGGAAAGCACTGAGCACTGCGAGAGTGACCAGAGCATTGTGTCAACATCATGACCTGACGAGGTCTGTTCCACGATGTAGAGTACAACCTGCACTGCAGGTGAAGCTCAGGGGTCTGATTTGAAGGTAAACAAGGGTGCGAGAAAAGTTGGGATAACTTACGGAAGATGTTGGAAGGATATATGTGCGAGTGTTCACCATGCTGATAGATTGATAACAATGTAGGAAGTGGCAATAAGAGTGGGCAATGAAAGTGGGCAATGAATATTATGGTAGTAGTATGGTTTTTAAATTTAGAGCTTGGCGCCTAAGTTACCAAGGCAATAACCTACTTTATAACTCTTCGTAATAGGTGTCTAGTTCGGGGATGTAGTTGCCGGGAACAGTGGGGAGCCGAACCAGTAATCAAGCACGACAATAGTATCTGAAATGTACTTTTTGTTAACACTGCAGTGAGGGTAATTGTGCGAACCTCATAAGGGTCTTAATGCTGCAGCACGGGTAATTGTACGAACCCCATAAGGTCTTAAAGCTGCAGTGTGGGTTAGCAAGGGTAATTGTACGAACTTCCGTAAGGATTTTAATACTGTAGCAGATTGGTAAAGGTAATTGTACGTGCTCCTTTTAATGCTGCACCGTCGCGAAGGGCAATTGTACAGTACTCTGAAATAATTGGAAGTTGTTATCTGAAAAACAAAAGTCTAGAAGCAGAAAGTCTGACAACAAATGAGAGGCACAGATAAATATGCTATGAGCGGGCGACTACAGTAGATCATCTTATCCGCAACAATGCCTTTCTTTGCTACATTTTTCAAGCAGTCGACACAATCACAGCGTTACAAGCCGCTAGCTCGTTTAACCACCTACAGTGGTTCCGTTCATGCGCTTGCAATTTCTAATGACGGTCGTATTCTTGCAGGTGGTGGTAAGTAGACAGGGACTCAGCCACAGGCAGTGCTAAAAACAAGTAGGCACCACAGGGATAAAGCTCTGGAATATCAATTCTCGCAAGGAACTCCTATGTTCGTCTCATCATGAATCCCGCGGAACAGTCAGTTGTGCAGTCTGGACCACAACGAGGCAAACCGCAGTAGAGACCCTCTGTTACGGAACAGGCCTGGGTTATATAACATTTTTGCGACGTGGTCTCATAGATGTGAGCCC